CTGTGGGTCACAGGGCAATCTATTCTTACCTTCACCCTCCTCTGCACCAGAATTGGTGCCAAACAGAAAATGTGCCAGGCAGAGAACAAACACTGAGCTTGACCCAGGTTCCGGACTTTAACTCAGGGGGGGTGTGTGTGCTCCCCAGGACCTCAGACAGCAGGTACAATGCCACCAGCAACTGTAGTTCCTCGACACCAGACTCTCGCGATGAGGGCTGGTAGAGGGGGCTGGTAGAGGAAGGCAGGGAGCGCCACCTGGTTTCAAGTCCACCTGGGGTACCCACCATGTGACCGAGGCACACCAGTTTTCCCCTCTGGGCTTGTTTCCTCATTTCCGCCTCTGTCTATGTGTCAGATAAGGTGACTGACCTAAATGACCTCTGGTTTCCAGACATTACGACAAGACCCTTTCTCACTTGCGAGCACAGAGCACAGCACAGGGCTATTCTGAAACCTGGAGTTCAATGGGGTCTGGAAAGACTAATACTCAAAAGAATTTGAGCATTGACTCTCCAAGATAGTCTATAAAAACCAAGTGGAAGGGCAGAGCCTTCACTCAGAGGCAGAGAGGTGGAAACCACACAGCCTCCCTCAGGAACACCTCTGGGAAATCCAGGAGGGAGCACTGTGCATGAAGGGAAAGGACTGCCTCCTTCTCACACACCAGGAACATCACACACATACACACACCCCACCACCACCACCACCCCCACCACCACCACCAACAACAACCAGCTCCTCAGAGGTTGGCAGGAGAAAGACCTTGAGGGCACCAAAGGCAGGACACCAGCCTGACTCTTCAAGGGCCACCCTCACCTACCCTGGTCTGCTCAAGCAGAGGACCTCACTCTACAGCTGCCCTCTTTGCTGCCCCTGAAACAGAGACCCCCAAATCTCAGGCTTCCCTCACTCTCTCCCTCCTCTGTCCTAGCTCCTCCCCACACTGGCCCTCACCCCACCATCTAGATCAGTACACATTCATTTCTCACAAAGCACCTCACTGGGTTCCCTCCACTCGGACCTGCCCCCCAACCCCCCACACACGCCTGCCTGCCCGGCACCCTGCCCACAGCCAGGCCTCTGCCTCTGCTCAGGCCTCGGTGCAGTACTTTTCCCTCCCACAAAAGCGGTTCGTCCCTTCAGGCGTCAGCACCTAGGCCCCCCAGCACAGTCGCCTGAATCCACAGGCGCTCCACCTGGGCTCCCATGCAGAGGGCCAGGGCCCCCGCTTAGGCCCTGTGCAGTCGGGCCGGTCCCAGCCATTTCCCCAGCAGACTGTACATGCCAAGGGTAGCCTTCCTCTCTCCAGGGCCCTCCAGGTTGCAGCTGGACCTCATGAATCGGGGTGCTCGGGTAACCCTTTCTGACCTGGACTGAATTGTGAGATGAAATTACCAGAAACACCATGCCAAGCTTTTCTGGCCCCCTGACCCCACTGCTGAGATAATATGCCACAGAACCACAACCGGCAGATAACTAAACTCGTCAGGGCAGATCACACAAGATGCTTCAAGAGGAAATGGAGGAGAGGGACTCCAATCTGTTCCCCAGCCCAGCCCCCCACAGATCTCTCACCCTCCCTACTCTCTGGAGACTGGACTCACCCCAAGGCCAGGCACTGACTCCACTCAGGGAGCCACTGCCCGACCAATGTTATTCAAAGAGCACACCTTGGGCTGGTAATCTCCGGAACAGGAATTAGCACTTGCAATCTTTATAGTTAGCATTGACACTTTTAAAAAAGCATTTGTCTGCAATAAAAGGGGGAAAAAATAAAACCTAGTAGTTGCCAGAGAGTCTGGAAATCACAGGCTCCTGACCCCCCAAATTCCTGCCTCTTCCTGCTAAAATCTGGCTCATCCTCAGAGATGTAACTGACATACCTTCTGTTTCCACTAGCGAGAAGCCTGACGCACAAAGTGGGGCTCTAGCCCAAACCATATGAGGGATGCTTAGGTGGTATCTACACACCCCTTACTACAAGTTCTCTGAGTTCAGAGCACCAAGTCTTGTTCACTTTTATATTCCCCAAAATGCCATAGCCAAAGCAGATTGATCAATGTTTGCTTACAAAAAGTAAATAACCACATCCACTCATGAATCCAAAGTGAGCTAAGGGCACATAGGGATTTTCCAGATTTGAACCAAATGAGTTCCTCTCCCCCAGTCCAGAAGAAAATGAAATGGTATTTAAAAAAAAGAAAAAAAGGAGTCATTGGCTCTTGAGACAAGTACTCAGTTACTATTCAATTGCAACAAATTCTACTATACCCTGAAGTGGCAATTTGAGTGAAAAACATTCAGCTCTCACATGAACCCCTCTCCGCTAAATATAAGTCACACACAATAATGAAGAATAAAATAAGATTTTTCAGGGTAGTTTACAACTTTAAATATTCCGTGAGCCTCTGGCATCAAAGCAAAAGGTCAAGGGCTCAGGACCCTATAACCCCACAAACAAATGACATGTTTATGGACTAACCAATGGATACCACTCTGGTCCACAAGGTGGGCCATAGGTACAAGACCCTCATGCTTGTGCCCCCTGTCCCCCAACATGCATGCCTTTCCACCGGCTCTCCCAAGTTCCAGCTGGCGTTTGGCAGGAATGCTAGAACTATTTCCAGATGACACTGTCAGATCAAGACGACTCTCTATCTAAATATTCCTGTCTAATTTTGCACACAGCTCTTGTTTCAACTGACAAAGATAATGACTCAGAATCCATGGCTCTTGATGGAAAATTATCCTGCCAAGTTTGGAGCTTCCCAATAATAGACTTCTCTAAACTTCTTTTTGAGAAATAAGTGACTTCCCTGGTCCAGATCCCCCCTAACCCAAAAGACACTCCCCTAGTTGACCAAGGAACGTTACAGGAAAATCCTGATACAACCTCACAGGACCAATCAACAAGAGCAATTCATGGTAGGGCTTGGGGTATTTTCCCTTGCCCTACGCAAAAATCACTGTTTTGCATCTTTCTTGCATTCCCATCAGTTTGAGGCTTAGAAGTCTGGTGCATAAACAGCAAGTTATACTAAAGGCAAAATCCAAACTCTGCAGTAAAATGCCTTTCTCTGAATGAAAAGAAAGGGCTCACTGATGACAATCATGCTTCGATCAACTATGAAAGTGCTCCACATGTACCCACATGGCACATCTACACTCCTGGGTAGCCTTGAAATGCAACCAGCCACTCGCTCCCGGCAGGCACAGGCCTGGACACCAACCACATCACAAAACACAAGAGCAACCTCAGCAAAAAGTGAGGATGAGTGAAACTTGACCTTGGAAAAGTCACGGTGGATAACTGAGTTAACCTTTCGGTTAGTATTCTGACAGCTTAAACCTGTTTGTTCATTATTTAAAAACTGTCCCCATGGTTACTTCATAAGTTTATCCTCACAAGATGTACTAAGTTCCCCAGGATAGAAGCCACCAGTTGTCCACTTCTTTTGCACTCCAGACCCAGCCAGTCACTGCCATGCATCTGGCAGGCATAGCAAATGCCCATAGGTTTCTAAACTCTACCTCTCTCCTAACCCCCTGGTGCAGAAGTGGGATCTTCTTATAAAGTCCAATCCACATGGTTTCTATTATTGGTTAGATAATAGAACAACACTATCCTCTGCCTAAACCTCCCAACTACTCATGGGCAGGTATCAGGAGGCCTCTGGCAGTACAGAAGGGCTCGTTTTTAGAATCTTATCTCAGTGGTTCTCAAGGGTGATTTTGCTGTCTAGGAGACATCTGGCAATGTCTGGAGACATTTTTGGCTGTCATAACTAGTGATGGGGGGTGGGGAGAGCTACTAACATGTAATAGATAGAAGTCAGGGATACTGTCACACATTCCTCAACAACAAAGAACTGTCCAGTCCAGAGGCTGGGAAAACCCATGGTTGGTGGCACACAAAGAGGTGCTCAGACTACCTGGATCACCTTTCCTTTGAGTTGCCCAAAGTCAATACAAAAATTACAATAATCCTGCATTGTCCACCATATTTGAAAGGTAGAACAAAATGCCCACATGCCTTAAAGATACTGCTCCTTTGAACCACCAGCCCTCCCCTTGGTCTCGTCTCAGAACAGTCCTCCTGCCAGGATCAGCGATCCATCCACCAGACAACTGGCAGGGTGGCTTCAATGCAGGCCAAGTCCTTTGGCAACGAGATAGACTTGTCATGCCCAGCTCTCCAGTCTTCTGTTACACACCCAAAGTCCAAATAAGTGTTCACAAGTTTTCCAATGGACTAGAGGCCTGATCCAGCCTGAGAGACTGCACCTAAGTCTCTCACCCTTCAGGAGACCCAGAACTCTTACCCAATGGCCATACCCAAATGGAGAGTCCCAGTACCAGACCTGTCCCTACTGCATTCCCATGCCCCAAGGCACATGTGAGAAGCGGCCTGAGTCTAGCAGACAGCTATGGCCTCTGTGCAATGAGCAGCGCCCAAGCCAAGGAAAGTCAGTTCAGGCAATTAAGTCCAGACCCCTCACAATCCCTCCCCTTCGGTGTTGGTGAGCAGGAGGAAAGACCAAAGCAAAGCACATAGAGGTAAGGACCAAGAAGGGCCCCCTTTTCCCAAGTTCATCCAACCCCCCATCTGTGTAACCCAACAGCTGACTTGGCCAAAGGAGTGGAAAGTTCTGACACAAACCTGCTGCCCAGGCCAGCGGCCCTGAGGCGCAGTGCAAGGGGACGGGGGTGAAGAGAAGTGTGATGGGAGGGCTGCGCTGGCGACCGAGGCACGGCTCCCGGTCGCCAGGACTGCTGGGCGCGTGCCAAGGACCCGGGGCGACTCCCGCGCCCTCCACCCCTCCCCGAGGCAGGCCGGCGGCCGCGGTCCCGGCAAGCAGGGAGGAGGCAGCGGCCGGGCCCCTCCCCGCACCCCGAGGCGCGCCCATGCCGAGGCCGCAGGCAGCACCCAGGCGGCTGCTGAGCCAGCTCTGCTCGCAGGCGGAGGCGCCCCCGGCACGCGGCTGCCCGCGGCCTTACCCGGCTGCAGGAAGCTGGGAGCCGCGTTCCCCACCGCGCCGCTCCCGCGCGCGCCCGCAGCGTCGGCCGCCGGCACGCGCCCGGGGCTGTTTACCTGCTCGCCCGCGCCGGGGCCCCGCCGGCGGCCCCGCCCTCGGGCCGCTCCTATTGGCTGAGCCGCCCGCTCCGGCCCTACGCCGGGCCGCGTTGGGGAGAGAGCGCGGCCCCAGTGCTCCACCCGCAGCCAATAGGAATTCAGGAAGGAGCGAGAGGAGCCAATGGGAAGGCCCCCGGGGAGCAGGGCCCCGCCCCCGTTTTCCCTCCCCACTGCCCTTTCCTCCAGTTGGGGAAGCCGGGCCCGAAGACCCGGCTGTGGGGCTGTGGGGTTGGGGGCTCGGCGCGTGCGCGCGGGAAACAGGCGCAGACGCGCGGGTGGCGGAACCTGTGCAGTCAACGGGCTGGCGGTGCTCGCCGGGCTTCCAAGCTGGACAGGCGGGGGCGGTGGGAGGAGCAGACAGGACAGCCGCGGACCCAGTGCGGGTTGCGGCTGTGATGGGGGCCTGGGGCCTGGCCGCGCCCCGCCTTGCTCGCGCGAGGCCCCTCCCCAGTTCCCACGGGTGGTGGCGGGGCTGCGGCTTGCTGCTCGCTTGCCACCGCTGCTGGCATCCCTGCTTGTCTTCCTCCTGGGGCTGAGCGTGTCGGATCTGTGAGGGCGCCATTCCCCGCAGAGGAAGCCCTGGGTTCGAGCCCCACGTTGGGCGCCAAGCTGTTATAGAGCAGCCCCGATACTGAACGGGTTCCTGGCTGTGGGTCCTCACCCGCGCGCTTAAAAGGGACTTGTTAATACTCCACTACAGGCACACACACAAGGTTAATAAAAGGTTTATTTACAAGGGAAAAGGAAATGTGTTGTAGAGCAACCCCGATACAAAACGGGGTGCCTGACTGTGGGTCCTCACCCGCGCGCTTAAAAGGACTTATCAATGCTCTACTGCAGGCACACGTGAAAGGTTAATAAAAGGTTTATTGACAAGGGAAGGGGAAATGAGGAAATGTACAGCTCTGGGAGAAAAGTGGGAGACAAAGTTTTAAATGAGTCCTACCCGATCCGCCGATCAGGAATCCCAAAATGGCGCTCTGAGAGCTGGCCGCCAGCCAGGAGCTGTGAAGCCAGGAGGCGAGCGATCGCGAGCCAGAGAGACCAAGGCCCACGTGTTTGGTTTTTTATATCCAACCTGGCTGCCCAACTCCACCCTCAGGTCCCAGCCACCCTCCCTTGGTGGTGATGGGATTTGTCTTTCCCAGAGTCTTGATGGCTTTAGTCTGGAGTGGGGGTGGAGTCCACAAAGTTAATCCTGTATGGGATTAACTCAGGACATCACTTCCCCCTAACATAAGGAAAATGTACAACTCAGAAAATAGGGAAATAAAGTCTTTAATGCGTCCTACCAGATCTGACAACCTGGAAACCCAAAGTCACTCTCAGAGCTGGCCGGAGGCTGCGAGCTTGCAGAGAGCCAAAATGGGGATCCCCCCAAAGCCCACGTGTCTGCCTTTTATATCAACCTGGCTGCTTAACCCCACCCTCAAGTCCCAGCCACCTTCCCTTTGGTGGTGATGGGATTTGGAGTTCCCAGTGTCTTTGGCTTTGGCCTGGGGTGGGGGTGGAGTCCACAAAGCCTATATGGAATTAGCTTTAGGACATCCTTTTCCCCCTAACAGAACTACCCTGTGAGGACCTGCTGCCTCCCACATTTGCCCCCCAGTCACCCCGCTTCTTAACCAGAGAATTCAGATCTGAACCAGGGCCTGTGTGATTCCACTCAAGTGATTCCCAAACACTGTATGGCAGCTCTGTGCAAGGTTTAGTTCTTGTGAGAAAAGAAAAATAAGAACAATTCAGTGTGTTTTTTCGTAATACTATTCAAGACAGGGACTTCTCTGGTGTCGCGAGGGGTTAAGACGCAGCACTGTGAAGCTGTCCACAGCCACTGCAGCATGAGTTCGATCCCCGGCCAGGGAGCTCCCCACATGGCGCAGCAGACCTCTCCTGACTCACCTGCTGCTCCCCTCAGCAGTGTATTTCGGTACATCTGCCTGTTATCCCCACTGTGTCTCTGGTGAATCCTCTAATCCCCCACCCCTGCATCTCTGGCCTGCACCCCAGTTCTTGTATGTATAAGTAAATAAATCTTTAAAAAAAAAACTATTCAAGACAAATTGTCCTTTATTGAGAGTTCTTTTAATTAACTTTTTAGAAAATTGTTTTAATATTATTACTTAGAAAATTAGAAGCCATTCTATATCCATGTGGGAAGGGGGACAAGGGTAATTACTAGAATAAAACCCAAACGTGAACCTTAACTTCATGGTTCCTCAGTGACCATTGGAGTTTGGCACCCCAGAGCTCTGCCCTGAGTTTTCCAAGCCTTGTTCTCTAAAGAACTGGATGCTAAGGTGTGTTTCATGAGGGTGAACAGGGCTCTGTGGCAGGTTCCCTTCTTTCTGGGAGGTAGAAGAGAGCTTTCTTCCAAGGAGAATGGAAATTGTAGTACTCCAAGGCTGGTGTGTCTCCTCGCCACAGGAACATTCATATGGTCTCTTCAGAGTCCAAATCTGCTCCCCCGCACCCCCATCTTCTCCACATTAAATGTAAAATATATTTTGAGGGGTATTAGGACTGAACTGCTTAATATTTGACTGAAGTTTCGAATAATTTTCCCAAGTACAATGTTAACAGCTAGGAACTTGACTTGAGTTCTAACGGTTATAAACACAAGTGAGAAAGATCAAGCTCCATGAAATAGGACTTCAAAGGTGTCCATTAGTCCGACAGTAACTGTTAATTTATAGGGCTCCAAACCAGTTTAATGCCAGTTTAATGACCTCTAGCCCTGCCCCTGGGATAATGGAGTCCCTCTCGTAGTTACAAATTCTAGCTGTTCAAACTTCAGTTGGAAGAGGGCATGATTTTAATCACTCCTGCTCCTGCTGATTTAAGTGAGGGAGGATGTGACACTTTAGTTCCACAAAAATTAGGATGAAATAGGCTGCTGCCATGCCAATTCAGTCTCCACCAGCAATGCCACAGTTAGCTTTTCTCTCAAGTATCCAAGGACCAACATAACCCATGACCAGAACTATTAGTCTTTCTTCAAAAATCACTGGTCTAGTTTGCTAGAGAAAAATCCCCCAACTGTTCTATGCAAAGAAGTCATCTATATCAAATTAATGATTTTAATCTTATTCCTTGTGAAATAATGACCACAGCTTTATTATACTGAAAACACATTTCTCTCTTTCCTGAACCTGATTCCTGCAAATTGGATATGATATAGAAGAAATTATTTTCTACAATATTGTGATTTTGTTAGAGCAGAATGTCTGGTGGGACACACTGAACTCCCTCCCCATCTCCTCATCTCCTTGCACACCTGACTACAACTCTCAGAATACCATGAACCAGACTTCCTAAAGCGGGAGGGTGCTGCTCGTACCTAAAGTTGAGCAGCCAGATTGGGCTTAAAATACTGAACACATGCATGCCCACTTCCCTTCCAGCTTGAGCACTTTGGCAACTGGGATGACCCAGCTCTCTTCAGAGACTATGGAAGCTGCCATCTTGACATCATGGTGGATTATCCAGCTTGGATGGTACATTTTGAACTTCCTGTCTCTCCTCTATCCCAACTCTTTGGGCCCTGCCCGGCCTTCCTGCAGGTATGTGCCTTGGACTCATTCTACTGGCAACTTTGCCATTGGGCCTTGTCTACCCCAACTCTAGGTCCATTTGGCTAGGTGCCTGCCTGTGAGTGGATGGGTGATTTCAGAGTTTGATCAGGAGTCTGTTATTTGAAATCCTTCTCTCCCTGACTGCTCCCTGTTAAAAATCTTTGAGCACACTAGAGTCTGGTTACTTTTCTTGGTGCATGCAGGTGGCATGGACCCTTAGAATAGGGAACATGGTTTATTCCCTCTTAACAGTTTGGTACTCTTGGGGACCCCTCAATTTTCCCACTATCAATTTGTGGAATATATTTAGTTATTCAGATGACCAAAATACACTTCTCAAATATATTTGGTCTTCCTGACTCACAAATTCCCAGCAAAGTCTTGGAATTTCCTTAAAAATTATGAGTAATGAAGGTGTCATTTGCTATGTTAATGAAGGTAACTTTGGGAAAGCACCAAGGATGGGGCTGGTTGTCATTGAAACCAACAAGAACAGATAGTAGAACTTTCAATCCCAACCTCCTGACCTCTAGGGAGGGGAGTGGGGCTGGAGATCGAGTTCAATTGTCAAAGGCCAATGACTATTAGTCTTGTCTATATAATGAAGCTTCCATAAAAATCTAATTGGAGAAGGGCCTCAGAGAAATTCCAAGTTGGTGAACTTTTGAAGATTTGGGAGAGTAGCATGCCTGGAGAGTGCATGGAAGTTCCGTGCCTTACCCCAGGTTTTGCCCCATGCATCTCTCTCATGTGACGATTCATATCCTTTAGTATCCTTTGTGATAAATTTTTGATCTAGTGAGTAAATGGGTTTCCTGAGTTCTTTGTGCTATTCTAGCGTATTAATTAAATCTGAGGAGGGAATCTCTAATTTACAGCCAGTCAGTCAGAAGCCCAGATAACCACGTGGGGCTTGTGGTCAGCATCTGAAGTAAAAGGTGGTCTTCTGAGACTGACATCTTAACCTGTGGAATCTGGTGCTAATTCCTAGCAGACCCTGCTGGAATTTGAGAGTGGGTGTGGGGAAGCCTCAGTCTCCACAGCCCTGCTGCAATTGACTGTAGCAGCACCAACTGAAATTTTCAGATCAAATGTGATGTTTGGAATTAGTTTAAAAATATTACAGGGCTAGGTTAAGGGGCCATGAGTTGATATTTGTGGAAGGAGAACCAAATGCATACATCAGGGTTCATGAAACTGAAAATTCAAAAATAAAACAGAATTGAAACCGTGCAAAGCTGGGGCCCAAATGTCACAGTTGGACAGTCCTCACCAATGTGATTCATAACTACAATTGCAGGATACAACTCAGGCTCAGCGTGCAACAAATGACAGGGTTTATT